CATGTTAGGATTTTTATCAAGAAAGGATAATCTTTTGCATGATGTTGTTTTTATTGTAAATGGTGAAGAAATACGGGCAAGTCAATATATGCTTGCTGCAAGCTCTAATTTTTTTACCGGAAATTTAATTCATTAGAATATGTAGGCTCAAGTACGGTTAATCCAGCCACAATCACCATTGATAATGTTAGTCCTAGCTCGGTTCATGTTTTATTGCGTTACTTATATGGCCAGAATATCGATGTTGCAATTTGGAATAATCAAAGTTTAAACGGAAATAAATTATCAAATTCGGAAAATTTGGAATTACATAAGAACATACTTGAGTTAGCAAACGATTATGAACTAGATCATTTAAAAGATCTTATGGAATTAAAGCTCTCTCATTTGGTTAACAAATCAAATATGTTAGAAATGGAAGATTTGGCAAGAGATTTAAATGCAAACCAACTCGAAAAGTATTGTTGTTGTTATATTCATGAAAATGAAAACTTGTAATTATTTTCTTATATTATATATATAATAGCATATATGCTATAACCTAGATATTTTATGATTTTGAAATAAATTGCATTATCTAAAAATTTTGTTATTAAATATGATGACTCTTGTTGATGATTCTTTATATCAAAAATTTACAAGTAGATCAAAAATCTTTGTTACTTTCAAAAATGATGCATACATCACTATAACTTATCAGAAAAGGTAGAGAATAAATCTATTTAGTCGACTAAATAAATGGCGAATGTATGAATAGATAACCGGCCCTTTCTCGCTAATCCTCTCTCTGTCCAAGAAGAAACCTCCTTTTCTTTTGTGTTCAATTTGTATTGTAAATTCTTTTTCATAAGACTTTCACTAATTATTTCAAAGAAACTAAACCAGTTTTCAAATTTCTAATAAAAAGAGGAAAAAAAAAATTTTTATATAATTTACAAATTTATGTATAGATCATACATTTGTAAGGTTTTATTAATTTATTTTGTTCCTTTTTCTTGAAAGACGAATATTTTTTAAACAATTCTTTAATCGTGACCAAAAAAAAATTTTTAAAATCCAAATATATTTGTAATATAATTATACCTGATAATGTATTCGTCATAAGTTCTTTTGATTCTTGTCTTAATTGAATATTTT